AAGTTGATCTGACTATGGCCTTTTTCTTCCAGCCATTCTTGCACCAGGCTCTCTACAGTTTCCCTAGGAAGAAAGGGTTATAGTTCTTATGCATGTGTATGTGTCTGCTCTCACCAAGTTTTACAGCTGTTGGTGAGATGAGCTCCTCTCCTGCTCTTGTGTCCCCATGTGTGCACTTCTTATTTAATAACTAGATCACATCCCCTCTCTCAGGCACCTTTATCAATGACAGCAGGCAGTGAGAGAGTGGCTCTGGTAAAACACAGATGTTAAGCCCAAACAAAATCTATCAACAGAAATATCTTAGTAGATCCACTTCTAGTAAAAAGACTCTTTACTGCACCTAAGCAAAGCTGAGATTGGCAACCTTCCACCTCAGCAGAAGATAAAGTTTATTGAAGAGAAAATGGGGCAGTTCAGCAGTATTTTGTTCCTATTCTAACTGGGGCAGGAACAGCAGTTTTTTGATGATCCCTTTAACAAGCCAGCATTCACCAGCCCTTGCACTGTTACTCACAGTTTGTCAGATTATCACTTCTTATGTTGTTGATTTCTGACATGAAAGATGCATTTCTCTGTTTTCTGAAGGTTTTTCAGATCTAAAGGCTGCAGAGTGACGTTTCTACTAATTAAGGCTTGGATTTCTAAGTGTATCCTGCTGCTACTGGAAACAGAGCAACAGGGAGCTCAGCCTTTTCTAGCTCTGAGGGAAACGTCCTCATTAGTGCCCATCTAGGAAGAGCAAAGCTGACACTGCACCAAGTTTTAACAGCAGAGGGTGACAGCCCTAGAATCAGCATAACTGCAGCACTGAAAGAAACAGTGCTGACTGGGAACTTCCACTACTGACATAGTTTTGCTTCAGAGCTGACAAAAAAAGAGGTAAACTTACAAGTGCATTTTGTGCTAGCTAATAGCAAACATTTGCCACTGCAGGGTGTAGAAAAAGCAGCTGGACCACAATTATGTTTGGACCACGTGATACTCAGCTGAAGTATATGAAGAAGCACAAAGTGTAACTCTCAAGTATGCTCTTTATTATCTCTGAAATTCAATCAGTTTTGTCATCCTCAAACCACTCTAAGCAGTAAGAACTTCATCTATACAACAGAACAAAGTTGGCTTAAGTCTTCAAGTAAGTGGTGGATTAAGAATACTGGAGGAGGCCACCTATGCTTACAATATTTCCGTTTGTTGGGAAGGCAAAATCCTTCCCAACCATACAGGAGGTGGGAGCAACCTTTGCTACTCAGAGGTCAAATACAGAGGTGTGGGTAGTAAGGATACATTTCTGAGTGTATCACTGAAAGTAAGTGATACTTTCGGAGGTTGATTGCTACAGAGCACAGTTTCACTGCTTTAGTAAGAGGAAGGCACCGCTGCCCTGATCAGTAACTTACTGCCAAAACTGCTTCTCAAGTTGACAGTGCCAGCTG